GTCATGTTGTCCGTCTGTTTGTCTGTGTTCTTTCGTTTGTGCAGGTGTGACCGCCCTTTTCTGGAGGAGGGCCGGATGTCAGCCTCTGCTTTACTGCTGCTTCAGCTGACATTGAAACGGGGAGGGGGGGGCATGGTATTTGGGAGGGGAATCATTATGTGCTGGAGGAGTATTCTAGAAGCTGTCCTGACCATCTCTTTGCGCATGTGGAGAAAGGAAGTTTCCCACCAAGGCTAACTGTCTAGCATTCCACCCTGATGATGCTTTTTGAAGATACCTCCCACCTAACAGTTGGGTGAGTCCCCTTTGGGGGGAAAGGGCGGCAAATAAATATAATAAAATCAAATATAATAAATATAATAAAATCAATTATTATTGGACTATGGTATGGGGTGCCAAGGGGAGGGGATTGAACTATACATGATATCTATTGCTTTTGCGCCAAATTACCCAGACTCAGCTTTGCTTTGCTACTTATCGTTTGTAATTAGTAAAAGTACATTTAATTTCAAAAATGGAGTTGAGTGTTTCTTTCCTGATTATTAAATGAAGCAGCACCTGACAGTGTCCAAAGTCTTTCCCATTTAGCCAGTTCCACATTGTAACCAAAATTTTTCACCCAAGCAATCATAGTTTCCTTAACACATTCTTCCTCGAGTTTGTATTCCAGCAGATACCTATACAACACTTTAATCAACCTGTCTTCTGTCTCTATCAGGAGCTTATTTAATATTGTGTATTCTTTGGCAATGCCTTCCTTTTTCTTATCCCGTGCATGCCTTATCTGTAGATAAGACCACCACTCTAAGTGCACCCCTTGTGATGCCAATTCTAGTCTGGTCTTTAACCCCCCCGTTTGTTCAATATCACTTTGTATGTAACAATTTTAATTAAATTTGGGTGTATATATGCTTCCATTGTAGATAGCCAAATGGGTATTTCTATATAGTGAAGTCCACATTTCTTAAAGTTGTCGAAGACAAGAAGCACTGGTCTAAGCTATTTGATGCATAGCATAACACTGGAGATAATGTTACACCCATATAACACTGGTACCTCAAATGCTAAGCTAGCATGGGTCACATGAATGTGCCTGAAGTCCAGCTCTATTTAATCATTCTCAAAATATGCTAACAACTAACAACCTCTTAAACTGAACTTACCTTTTATGAACAGTCACGTTACTACTAAAGCTCTTCAATTTGTCCTCAATGATGGTAGCAAATTTGGTTGGTGTGATATGGTTTGCAGGGCCTTCCATAAGATATCTGGCCAGGTTCTGGCCTTCTGCATAGTGAATCCCTTTCTGCCAGGCATCAATTCCATCACTAAGTAGAAACACAGAATGTTTAGCTATAAAGTACTACTCTGGAGTTTTCTTAAACAAAACAGAGGTTTACATTCATGAAAGGGAAGATCAAGCTCAAAAAACGTAGTCTGGGAACCATGTGAGTGGGCTGGAGAGTCTTCAAAGACAACAGATGCCCAGAGGACAGGGTGGGGAGCAGGATCGTATCCAAAGAATTGCAGCTTCTGCCAGGATTATTTCTGTCTAAGGAGGTGCTTTGAATGTCAAGGGGCTCTAAGGAAGACAGCTGATTTTTTCAAGCTGGGCATCTCACACAAAATAATATTGGCCTGGACTTCCAGAGAAGAAATGGCCGATAAGTGGTGGAACGAAGAGCTGACAGGCGCAGGCTCTTTAATAATTCCTCTCCAGACAAGGAGGGGTTTGGAATTGCCCATAAATGCTCCAGACAGTCTTTGTGAGGCGTTCCCAAGATAATAGCCTCCAGTAGTTTTATTTCTCTGGGAGAAGAAATAACCATCTTGCTTAAGCCATAGCCAGCACCTTTAAAGACACTGGGTTCACATGTTTCCTTTTCTAATCACTTTTGGAAATTGCTTGTTAATTATTTTTCAGCTGTTAGGAACCTTGGATCAACATATTTTACAGCACCGGATGAAACCTGCCCTTGTATACACCACTTGTGAATGTAAGTGAAGACCACCTGCGAACAGAGACTAATCAAACCAGTGTCCTAGACTTTAAAGGAGCTGATTTTAACAGAGAAAATGTGGGAAGGATTTCTTAAAGTGGAAAACAACCTAAGATGCTTGGGAAATTCTGAAAAATCAAACATGTCCAGTCCAGCACAATATAACGGAAAAGAAAAACAGGAAATCCAACGATCACAAAGATCTCTCTAACAAACTAAAAGACAAAAGGGATAAATACAGAAAATGGAAAGAAGGACACTAACTAAGACAGAATACCAACAAATAAAAAGAACTGGCAAAGATGAAATCAGGAAAGCTAAGGCTCAGAATTAAATAAAATTTGCAATAAATATCAAAAATAATAATAATAAAGTTTCTTTCAGCATATTAACAGTAATTAAAAGTCAAGGAAAATAATCGGCTCACCAATTTTAGAAAATGGTAAGAAACTGACAGGTAATAAAGAGAAAGCAGAACTTTCTCCATATTTACACAAAAAGAAAATATAGCTCAATGTGCCAATAACATAACTGCAAAAGACAATCTAGTAATGCAAATTAAAATAGGCAAGAAAATAGTAAAAGAACACCTGACTGCTCTAGATGAGTTCAAATTACCAGGACTTGATGGATACCATATTTGTGGTGATCGGTGGCGGCAACTGGAATGGGCCAAAAATGGGACGTGCAGAGGCCAAAAATGGGGGGCATGGAGGCCAAAAACTGGAATGGGCCAAAAACGGGATGTGCGGAGGCCAAAAATGGGGGGCATGGAAGCCAAAAATGGGACACGCCGGGGGGCGAAAATGGCCGAAGGGTGGGAGCTGATGAGTGTGTGGCGCTTTGGCAACATTCACTCTATAAGACGCACAGACATTTCCACCCACATTTTTTATGTGTGTGGTAAGAGTGCGTCTTATAGTGTGAAAAATATGGTACATCCTAAAGTACTGAAGGAGCTAGCAGAAGAGATACCAGAACCATTAAACATCTTTCAAAGATGCTGGAGATTTGGCAAACTACCAGAAGATTGGAAAAGACCTGATGTGGTTCTCATCTTCAAAAAAGGGGGAAAAACATATCCAGGAAACTATAGACCAATCAGCCTGACATCAATACCTGAGAAGACTGTAGAAAAGATAAGCAAGCAACACATCTGCAAACAACTAAAAACAAGTAGAGTTATAACCAATAGCCAACATGGGCTTGTCAAACAAATCTTATTTCATTCTTTGACAAAGTGACTAAATTAGTGGACCAGAGAAATGCAGTGAACATAGTATACTTGGACTTCAGTAAGGCATTTGACAACGTTGATCACAACTTACTTCTTGCTAAGCTAGAAAAATTTGAATTGACTGCATCACCATCAGATGAATATGTTACTGGCTGACAAACTGCACTCAACATGTAGTCCTTAATGGATCTACATCTACATGGAGGGAAGTAAGCAGTAGGGTTGCCCAAAGTTCTGTATTAGGTACTCTTCAAGATCTTCATAAGCAACTAAGATGAGGGAATAAAGGGGTAACTCTTTGCAGATGACATCATTTGAAGGGACTAAAGATCAACATTGTTAGAAGTAAAAGAAAGGAAATGGTCAAGGTTAAAACAGATATGCTATTTCTAGTAAATCTTAATGGACTTTTCTTGACATCACAACTGAAATGATGATGCTTTTAAGAATTTGATTATAGATAAGAGATGGGATATAGAAAGAAGAAATCATTTGTTTTATTTACAAAGAGAGTCAGAGAATGCAATAAGTTGCTAAAAGTGTTGAGGAAAAGGAGTGGCTTTTCTTCCTTGCTGGATTCTTCCTTGTTCTTTTCTATTTTTCTTTCTATTTTCTCTCTATTATTTTTCCTTTTTATTCTTTCAATTTTTTTGTTTGTATTAGTTATTGTTGTACTTGTAAATTTGCTAATAAATTGATTTAAAAATGGATAACATTTCCCTGACTTAAAACTGGGTCCCCTCCATCACGCAAATAAGAGAAGGACTATCCATTGTCTCCTCTCTTCCAATGAGTTGATATTCCAGCAACTTTGTCTATCTTGGTCCCCAATTATTCAATTCTCTGCTATCCTTTATTAGGGCAAATTACTTGAGTTTGACTCCTTGAGGCAGCAAACTTATCAAGACTGCACAAAGCAAATCACTCTGCCAATGCTCTTGATTCATTGGTTGATCACTGCTGGAGTATAAATCATGTTTGTATATGGAAATGATTTCTTTATTTAAGTGCAAGGTCTTATGGTGACTTTCAATAAAGACTTCATTCAACAGCCTTTTATTTCTCAACACTTCATAGCAAACAAATTATTTCTGCAACAGAAGCACCATACCAAGGTGATGTCTCGGTTACCTGCCATGTAACTGAATTTTAAGGGCGGGTTTCTTTTTTTGCTTCAGCTCCTCATATTCAAAGATGCCGAGGGTAGCCCCTTCAGCTGCAGCCTGAGCATCTCCACAAGGATCCACTTCAACACAAGGGAGTTCTAGTTCCTGCAGCTGCCGGCATCCAGCTAAACAATAAAATACACATTAGAAAAATTAGGACCAAGACAGAAGAAAGGAGGTGTTTTCTAGCAAACACACCTCCTGCCATAAGGAGGAATCAGCCAAGATAATCATTTCTGCAATCAAAGCTTCCTGAAGTGAAAATGAATGATTAATAGGATAATTAGATGAGTTATCTAGAAGCCACTCCCCACAAGCAATTCAAGAATGAGAAAGTGCCTCATTCAGCTTTCTCAGGTTAGAAAATGATGACTGTGCAACATCAGCTGGCCAAAGTACACAATACATTTTTTGTAAAAACAATTTTTGCAACATATGCCTTTATTTAGCCATGTTAAACATTCAATTCTGCCAAAGGCCACTTTATCATCCCACTGAGTAACAGTAAAATTACAGAATTATAGAGTTGGAAACTACCTGGGAGATTTTTTAGTACACTCCCCTGCTCAAGCAGGAAATCCTACAGCTGTGTGAAAAAGTCCTTTACGGTTTATGACATTTTTGGATAGGCCATTGATTTTATAATATTTTATGCTAACTGCTATGCAAATATTGTTTTATTTAAATCAATACTGATGGTTTTTAAGTGAAAAGCATAAGGTTTTTGCAATTTGGTGCTATTTGGATGGGGATTGTGAATTTTCTTGCATGCTTACAATGTATACTTACAATGATTATGAAAACAGATTAACTGATGCATACCCAGTGGCATAAGTGTTGCAATTACTAAGGCCGATGCTAGTGTTTTATTAACATTTTTATTGTTTGTGGCCCTGAAAAGGACCATTTAGTTAACCAAACATGGTTACTAATATGAAATTGGCCAGCCCTTATTTCTTATCACCAGGCGGCATCGCTTCAGCTTTTGCACATGATCTTTGGTGACAATGTGGTGCCAGGCTGCAGTAACGGATTCAATCAGCTCCTGGTTGGTCTTCGGATGCTTCTTGCTTATTTCATAACCAATCTTGGCCCAGAAGTTCTCAATTGAGCTCTGAGCTGGCCAACCCAGGAGTCGAACACCATGCTTCTTCATCCATTGCTGGATGGACTTGGCTCGATGACAAGGAGCTTTGTCATCCTGGAAGTAAAAGTCCTTCCCTACAAGTTGCTGAGCTGAAGGAAGCATGGTCTTTTCCAGGACTTTAACATACTCCTTGGAATTCATGATTCCCTGCACGATTTGTATCCGACCAATACCAGAANAAAGATTATATGCTTGCGTCGCTCATCAAAAACTCTGAAATAGGCTAGACTCAATTGTAGCTAAAAATAGAGTCGGGGGGGGGGGGTTTGGAATAAAGCAGCATAAAATTAAAATATAAAAGTGAAAGGTGGCAGAAGGAAGATATAAAGACCTGCTTTTAAGACATGTACAAAAACAGGAAATGTCAAAAGCCCAAAACCACGGGGTTCAGCTAAAGTTCTTACAAAGCCATGTAGCCATTACCTGTGGCCCAAGACAAAAGGAGAAGTAAGACAATATCTGTTTATAAGGCTTCTTTCCTCAAGGTAACAAATCAGAAATGGGTTAAGTATTTCCGTGTTGTGCAGCTTTTTGACAAAGTATAAGAATGTGTGCTTCCATTAGAAGAGTTGTTCAGAAGTTACATGCTAGCCTTTGACTAGCTTTTCTAAACCTAGCTGCCAATAAACCTCTCCTTGATCCCGAGACATCTAAGTCTTGTTATTTTCTGCAACAATATCCTTAGGGGTGTCCACTATAAAATTCAAATTTCACCAGCTGGCATGCAGAAATGAGAGCCTTATTCATGCTGGCATAAGGCTCCGCCTCTTTTTAATATTCTGCCCAACCATCAATGAAACAAATCCTTTTGGAAGGCATATTCTGCAAAAGACAAAAACCTCAACAGCCAGAAGTGTCAGAAGATATATTTATTGTATGTAATAGCTGTGAATCTATTATTCAATCCATATTATAACTCCTGTTGGTTTAGACTGATTGCTCTTTGGATACCAAATACAGGACAGGCTCCTGGGATGAAGATTATAAAAAGTGAACGTGATTAGTAGAATTCTATGGAATGAATTTATAGTCCATCACTTTGGATCATTTCAAAGTAGCCTCCCGAAATTAAAGAAAAAGATGGATGGCCCTTTGGAATTTTATCTGTACACTGGCTGATTCCAATTCAAATTAACCATTTTTAAAGCCAGTGGTGATCCTCACAAAGCTGCTTTCTAGAAGCTTTGCTTGTCTGAGGCCAATCGAGTAATAAACTCAACCAGGGTACGTGTTGGCCTTCCTGCCATGCCTTTTCGCAGATATGGAACCTCATCTTTGTTTTCCATTACACCAGCAATATCTAAATGAGCCCAGTGAGGAGCAGTCACAAATTCTTTCAGGAATGCAGCAGCTGTGCATGCACCACCAGACCTGATGGGAGAAAAGATAAAGTTTTATTGTAATATTTTTTTGTATATTGTTCTTAATAATTTATGTAGGGGGAAAAGCTATCTATAAAATTGCCTAACCATAGAAAACATCAGAATAAAGCTTGAAGGGACCTTGGAGGTCTTCCAGTCCAGCCAGGAGTCCAGTTCAAGCAGGAGATCCTAAACCATTTCAGACAAATGACTGTCCAGTCTCTTGTTAAAAACTTCCAGTGATGAAGCACCCACAATGTTTGAAGGCAAGCTGTTCCATTGGTTAACTGTCATTGCTGTTAGGAAGTTTCTCCTCAATTCCAGGTTGCTTCGCTCCTTGATTAGTTTCCATTCATTGTTTCTTGTCCTGCCCCCTGGAGCTTTGGAAAATAAATCGACCCCTTCCTCTTTATGGCAGCCTCTCAAATATTGGAATACTGCTATCATGTCCCCCTAGTTCACGGGTGTCAAACTCAAGGCCCACAAGCCAGATCCAGCTTGCTGGGTGCTTAGATCTGGCCCGCAGGGCCAGCCTGGAAACAGCAAAGGACTGGCCCGTGGTGCCTGGCCCAGCCCAAGCTGACACTAATATACAATCTGGTGGAGGCTGGCAGAGTGCTAGAGCTCTGTTTTCGCTGGCAATGTGCTAGCAAAACAAACTACTACAAAAAGTGGCATTTGATCACAAGGCAAGGTGGCATCAAGAAATGTTTCCCCTTTTACATTTGAGCATGCAAGAAATGACAGGAAAGGAGAAAGGGAAAGAAGAAAAGCAAAAAAAGGGAAGGAAAGATGGGAAGAGAGCAAGGAAGGAAAAAGAAGGGAGAAGGAAGAAGGAAGGAAAATGAAGAGGGAAGGAAAAAGAAAAGAAAGGAAGGAAGGAAATTAGTTATAATGAGAAGGAGGGAGGGTCTGAGGGAAGTCCTGCCTTAGCATTGCTGCCCTTGCATCATCCCCTTGTCTCTTCCTCCTGACCTCTCTTTGTGGTCTCCCATGAATTTCATTTTCTTGGATAGGGCCCATTATTCAAGTCTGTCAAGGTCTTTTAGATCCTGAGCTTGTCTTCTGAAGTGTTGGCTATTCCTGCCATCTTACTGTCATCTGCAAATTTGATGAATTCCCCTTCTATTCCCTAATGCAAGTAATTTATGAAGATATTGAAGAGTACTGGGCCTTAGACAGAACTTTGTGGTACCCCACCTCTTAGTTCCCTCCATGTGGATGTAGTACCATTAGACAAGTTGGTTTGTCAGCCAGTTACAAATTCATCTGGTGGTGATGCTTTCCTACATTTTTCTAGCTTACCAAAAAGTAGGTTGTGGTATACTTTTCCAAATGCCTTGCTGAAGTCTAAATATACTATGTCCACAGCACTGGTCTGCTAATTTAGTCATTTTGTCAAAAAATGTAATAAGATTGGTTTGACATGATCTGCTTTTAACAAACCTGTGCTGGCCACTAGTTATAATTTTATTTGTTTCTAGAAGTTCACATATCTGGTTTTTTATTATTTTCCCCTGTATCTTCCCAGTATTGGTATTAGGCTGATATGTTTGTAGCTTCCTGGGTCTGGTCTTTTTTTTTCTTTGAAGGTGGGAATCACATCAGTTCTTTTCCAATCCTCTGATAGTTTCCCAGTGTTGCAAGGTTTTTTAAAGATATGATACAATGGTTCTGAGATAACATCTGCCAACTCCTTCAGAACTCTGGGATGTAATCTGTTAGGTCCCGGTGATTTATATTTAGTCAGAAAGGTATTCTCTTACAATAGTCTCTTCTATCCGTACATTCCAGTCATCTGTTTCATCCCACCAAGTTTCAGTAATGGCAACTATATCATATATGCCTTTATGTACTTATATTTCAAGTTCTCCCTGTTTGTTCCCTAAACGTTGAGCGTCAATGTGTAAGCATTCGAGTCCTTTAGTAGTCTTGGGTATGTTTCTTATATCTCCTACTTTAATTTCCATCACACTCTACTTCATTATGTTTCTCTTTTTTATTTCTTTTTTTTCTCTTTACTCCCTTCCTCCCTTTGTGATTGATTATCTAGTGGCTTTTCCTTATAGGTCGTGAAGATTGGAATTAGGTTCTATAGGTCTTGAAGACTGCCCACTCAATTTTAGTTTAAAGCCTTTTGAATAAGATGAGCCAGTCGTTTTCTGAATATATGGTTTCCAGTTCTTGTGAGGTCTTGTGAGTAGCTCTTGATCTAGGTAATGCAGACCATGCTCTAGGACAGTGATGGCGAACCTTTTTTGGCTCACATGCCATAAGCGGGAGGAGTGCAGGGGGGTCGTGGGCAGGCGTGCCGCACCCATAATGCAATGCGCGACACACCCCCAGCGCGTATGCGTGCATGACACGCACGACACCCCATTTTTTGCATGCCCCCGATGCCCTCCGGAGGCTTCAGGAGCTTCCCTGAAGCCTCCAGAGGGCAAAAAACAACCCTACGACAACCTGGACTTCCGGTTTGCCCGTAGAGTCGTTGTTAGTCCTCCGGAGCCTTCAGGGAAGCCTCCTGAAGGTCCCTGAAGGCTCCGGAGGACTAAAAATGGCCCTATGAGCAAACTGAAGTGACTTCTGGTTTGCTTGTATGGTTGTTTTTTGTCTTCCGGAGCCTCCAGGGAAGCCTCCTGAGGGCTCCTGAACACTCCGAAGGACTAAAATCGGCCCTATGAACAACCTGGAAGTCACTTCCAGTTTGCTCGTGGGTTGTTTTTTGCCCTCCAGAGGGCGGAAGGCTGTTTTCGCCCTCCCCAGACTCCTATAAAGCCTCTGGAGCCTTGGAAGGGCGAAAAATGGCTTTAAAAAAGGCTGAACTCAGCTTGCCAGCCGCACATGCACACTGGCCAGCTAACAGGGCAACGCCTCGTGTGCCCTGACAAATGGCTCCGTGTGCCACCCCGGTTCTAGGAAAACCAAAGTTCTGTTGATGACACCAGTTTTTAAACCAATGGTTCGTTTCCAGTATCCTTTCCTCCCTCATTGGATGTTGGCCTTTGTTGGAAGTATAGATGAAAACACCATTTGTGCTCCTAATTCTTTAACTTTCTTCCCTAGCTGTTTGTAATTTCTTGCTATTGTTTTCAGATTCATTGTTGTGTCATTGGTCCTCACACGAAGGAGAAGAAAGTGGTAGTAATCTGTGGGGTTGATTATTTTACTAAGGTATTCAGTTACATCTTTGATTTTTGCTCCAGGGAGATCATATACCTCCATAGATTGACTGCTTGCTCTGCAGACTATAGTTTCTGTTTTCCTAAGAATTGAATATCCTATTATCAATATTCACCTTTTTTTCCCTAGGGAATTCTGCAATACATTTTTTTCCTGTCGCAGGAATGCTGGGTTATACCTCTTTTTTTAGAAACTATTGATGAATGCTCTTTTGTCAGTGTCTGTATATTTTCCTCCAGGTGGAGGCTATGAAAGCAAAAACATGACTTGATACTACACCAAACCTTGATTCACATTACCAGAAATCAGACTCTAAGCTATGATTTCAACTTGATACAAACAAAAGCCAACAGAAATGTACAGTGGTTAATCTGGTACATGCATTGCCTCTCTACTTGTCTTTGAAACATTTTCCTGGTCTCATATGGATGTCACCCTTACTTAGAAAAATAATAGTTACAGAAGGAGTAGCATAGTTGCACTACTATTTCTTTATAATCTTGTTTTTCAGTAAAATTATCCATTGGTTGGATTCAGAAAAACAACAATCCATTTCTGCACCACAACAAAAAGCTGAAGCAAATTAATGAAGAATTTTCTCTCTGGGCAAACAAGAGTGTCTGTTGTCCTCAGTAAAGTGGAAGGTCCAATTATGCTTCCTCTGCCTAGTCATACCCTCATGAACTTGGTCATAGATTGTTGTTCTATTAGATCCTTGCCCAAATAAACAAGGTCTGAAATATTTTCAGGTAGGTCCTTCCTTTAACTCCTATTTGCCCAAGTTCTCTGTAGGTACTGGAAAAAGTAATATGAACATAATAGCATGGCAACAGCATTTCATTTCAGCTTAGCTAGGTTACCTGTATTTTCCAATGTTATTTACATCTGCTAGTTGGCAGTCTGTCACTTGCTTTGTGTAATGTTCATAGAGAGGCATTCTCCAAACTCGATCCCCTGTCGGAATGCTAGCCTGTCAGTGTAGAGAAAAGAATCTATTCAGATATCAAATTTCCATATAGTTCTCTACCGTCTTTAGTTTGCTTATAATGGTTGAGCCCAATAGTTAAACTTAAGCTGAAGCAGAGAGTATGAAATACAGATATTCGGTTCTAAGCGCTACTCTTCTACCAAAATCCCTTTGGTTTTTTTTTTTTATACTGCTTCAGAATAATAAAACAGAATTGATCTCAGGAATTGGCATGGAAGGGTGGGACTGACACTTTCAATTTTCTTCCTAATGATTTTCACAACCAACCTGCCTTTTTCCTAACAATATTATTACCAAACTATCTGCATCAAGATCCCTACATGCTCAGGCCTGCCAGTGTTATCTATGAAATGATTTATTAAATTTATATATAAAGTTGAGGATTTGGGGCATCATTTTATATTTGCTTAAACTGAACACGTTTACCCTTTCAATGCTCATTTCTTCTCTTTGAAATATTATCTTGATATTCTTTAATCTTTGTTTTATCCACCTAAATCATTTGTTCTCATTGCAAACTAAGCCACTTCTCATGCCTGCTTTCAGATCATGTCTGACATCCATGCCTGATCAATGGGCATGACCCTTGAAGACATTCACTTGTCTAAAGAGGTGCTGCCTTGGCAAAACCAATCTGACAGTATTTTAGAAATTTATAACACATATTGTTGAAATAATTAGGAACATCAAAAATACAGTTTTCCATTTTTCAGTTAACTAATATTAATAAATCCAAACTTATTTCTCTTCTGTTTTCTGTATGAGGAATATTAGAGGCAGGATCAAATATATTCAGTTGCATTGCCGTGTTATTTGTTTGTCTCCAGGTGGCTTACATTAGGTAGCAGTATAGACAGAAGCCTCTAGGAATGTTGAAAACAAGGTGAGGAGATTATCACTGGTTCACAAAAGTATTATCAACTCCAAAGCCAAGATTTTGTGTTTAGCTTTTGTAGCCAATAATCATGACTTGGGTTCTCAATAAAAAGGGTTGAATCTTTTCTTTTAAACCTTCTAAATCAGGGGTGTCAAACTGGTGGCCCATGGGCCTGATGCGTCACACAGAGGCCATGCACACCCTGGCATTGCAAAGGCAAAAAAGTCACAATACGTCGTGATATATCACGTGGCGCGATTGAGCTTGACACCCATGCTCTAAATCAAAACCTACCTTGAAATCAATTGTTACTAGCATCACTTACCTCATATAGGTGATTCCACACCATCTGTGAATTTGTAAAAACTCCAGTAGCTGCTGATCCTAATGCTACATCCATGGCACCTATAAAGTATTATAAAATACAGATTATCCAGCCATTTTTCCATGTTGACTAGCAAATTGCTCATCAGGTAGCAATTTATATTCACATTTCTAAAATAAATTTTTTTTTATTTGCAAGGTATGTATGTATGTATGTGTGTGTGTTTGTGTGTGTGTGTGTGTGTGTGTGTGTGTGTGTGTGTGTGTGTGTATATATATATATATATGTG